TCCTGAGACTTTCCTGTAACTATCATTGCTGCTGCAGGTGGTGATTGCACCTGCAGAGTCACAGTTGGTGTTGCATAATCATATTGACATGTTTATGTGCAGCTGGCAGTAAAATAATACTCCTCAGTGTAACCTGTCATTGCACCGTAGCTGCTGCTCTTACATTGAGAGCTGCCACGCTAACTTCCTCCTGTTCGCCGCCGCTGTCACTCTCCTCCGACAGACGCCCGCCGACTCCCAGCTCCCCGTGGGATCTGCGATCATCCCGCTTCTCCTGATTGACGGCCGCCTCGTACACGCCCCCCTGAAAGTCATCTGCCTCTATGCCCTCTGACCTCTTACCGGTCACCTGCAGGAAGGAGAGGCGGAGACGTTGTGAGGTGGTTTTGTGGTATTTTGATAACTGTTATATATCCAACAGCTGAAGGCCAAAGTCTGAATGGTGCCTTTTGCAGAAAAACACCAAGAAAACCTTCCTGATGAACAGATTTACAGTGTGAAGCACAGACTGATGCACTGATGCTGCTGCATGCACCCCTCAGCACAGCTCTGCTGCAAACAGAGGAATGTAAACACACCGCAGCATTAACACACGCTCACTCAGCTCTTTAATGAGCCACAACTGTTCCATTCACATCACTCACGTAGTCATTTACACAGCTTGTAATCCATGCATCACTCTAACAATGACTGCTGGAGGAAACAAAGGGATGTTCAAGTCTAATGCACAGCAACAAACACGGCTGAGACTGAGCTAACCTCTCTGGTGCCTCATCATTAAACCACTTTTACCTCCAGTGTGCTTTTATCCTGAGTGAATTTAATGGATTTAAAAGTTAAATCCTGCGTTTGGAGTTAAAGGCAGTCAGGTTGTGTGCAGAGACAATTCATCACATTTTAAACTGCTTTAGTCAAACAAGTGCAGAGCATTCATGTCTTCTTTGTTTTTATATATACTTCAATAACTATTCATGGTGATGCTGTCAGTGTGTCCACACAGACGTGAAGGAAACCTCCGATACACGTGCGATCAGAGACGTTTCAGATTCATCGTTGAAAATACGTTTTAAGACATTTTAGCTGCTTCATCATCTGGTTTGTAACTGAATTAAAAATGAATATTTACTTTACTTTCTTTGTTACAAGCGTTTTTTTTTACTGATCTCAATCTTGACTACAAATAAAGTGAGTCTGACGGCCATGTTTTAATTCAGCTTTATTTACATTGTGCCAAGGGCCAATAATTTGGTGCAGCGGTGCAGAAAGAGTTAAATTACGTCCTCTACTGGAGTCCTACGTCATGTGACAAATATGGCCAATGTGATTGGCTGAGCCTTTCAGGGAGCTCTGTTTAGTTTTAGCAGCGGCAAACCTGCGCTGCGAGGAGGAGAGGAGGACGGCAGCAAAGAGGAAGAAGCTGGATATAAGAAAGTATTTTTCAAAGAAACCTGTAAGTCACTTAAAGTCAAGTTCACTCATATAACGTGTCCGTCATAATAACGTTACAGGCTATGCTAGGCCGTACATGCCAACCCTCCCGATTTTTCCGGGAGAATCCCGAATTTCAGCGCCCCTCCCGGAAATCTCCCGGAGCCACCATTCTCCCCAATTTCTCCCGTTTTTCCACCCGGACAACAAAACTGAAAACCATATCCCAGACTGGCCCAGCCAATTCCAGTGTCCAATAATGGCTACTATTACTGCAGCTAGTTAGTTTTAATATTACTCTTATTTCTCTTTCTGGGTCGCAAAATAAACTTTTAACACATTTTCAGGCGAGAATGTAGCTGTGTAAACATCAAATATCTGAGCCAGAGTTCCCTTAGTGCTAATGTATCAGAGATGTTGGTGTAACTGAAGTAATGTTGTTAAGTCCTTAAAGTCATATTCTTTTATTGTCATGACTCTATTTGAAGCTATTTTTATTTTGTATGATACCTGATTTATATGGAATATGGCTGAAGTAAACTAAAGTCTAAAATAGTTAGTCAGTCATTTGTTTAATAGTAATTTAACATTATATAATTCACATGTAAAACTATGAATTGTAATTTTAAATGGTTTAAAAGCAGGTAGAATAGCATAAGTAGGCAAGTATGTTTCTCCTTTTGTTATGAAGAAGCAAAAAAAGAAACGGGGCAGGGTTTGGTGAATCATCCGTCCCCACCAACGCCAAAACCAAATCTAGGCCCTTACATTGTGCAAAATCACAATCGAAGAGCCTTACATGGAAATTAAAGATGCTAAACCGCGGTCCAGGTTCTAGTATTTTATTAATGAATTTGTTATTTTGCTTCAGGTTGAGGCTTCTTGTTTTTAACTCTTGCTGCACAACAACAGATATTTATATTCTTTACTTTTGTGCTTTCAAAATCACTTCTTTTTGGTTCCAGTCCATACAAAACTGGTTTAATTTAAATAATATTTAGAAATTAATAAAAGAAATGTGACAATAAGGAACAAAAATCTATTTGATTTCTCATTTTCAAATGAAGTTTCAGCCTGTTCTTCTTTCCTCTCTGTTACAGTTGCACACATCAGCACATCTTACCAGCTCTTCAACACTGAGCAGTCCCATTCTTCACCTGGATGGTTTCACTGTGCCGTGGGTACCTGGAGGTGGATTTTAGTCCACAGGTCCTCTGGTCTGATGCTCAGTATGTCCGTCTGTCTGTCTCTTTGCCTGCAGCTGGAGCCTCGGCCTCTTATATAGCTTTGCTGAGCTGCCGGTCCGTCACTGAGCTCAGATTACATCACTGTCCTCGTGTGCTCATGTGGCATTCCCTCCTCCACCCTCATATCCATACTCAGCCCGTCCCACCCCGAGTGCTGCCCACTTTGGGCTGATCCTGGCACGTCTGTGTCACCGAGCAAAGATGGAGATGAGCTTTGAGGAGTTACTCTGCACCAAATGCTGATGCTGAGTGTTCTGAAAATTGCTTGAACCAGCCACGTGCATTCTTGTAAACATAAACACATAAGAAATCTTGAAAGTGCAAAATCTTTATCACCCCTCCTGCTCTTTTCTATCAGTTATCCCTGATTTGTCTTCATACATCTACATTCCTTTCAGCAACTTCACGTCCTGCTTTTGTGTTTAGCAGATGAGCCCTCATTAGCATAATTAGCTCCTAAAAAGTTGAAGTTCAGGCTGGAATGAGTCTCTGCGCAGTGTTACCTCACTACGGTGAGAATCCATGCGTCTTACTGTAACCCGGTGTATCATGGAACAAATGCCAAAGAGCCCAAACTCTCTTGGATGCTTTGAGGAAACAGCAGCGTCAGGCAGTCTGGGAATAAAAACAAGCTCTTTGCATGTTTGGCCTTTCACCTGCTGTCTGCTCTTTGATGCTTTTGATCTTGACCTCGCCTTCGTCTCCTCCTTTTTAAAATAGATATTGTGACCTTATCCCCTGAGAATGATGGCAGCTGATATTCTCACACACAGACACATTAAAACTGCCTCATGATCCTCTGAAAGTTGTTAAACTTTTGCTATTTTGTGCCAAAATAAAAAGGTATATTTTACTATTTCCTTCAACTTTATCTTTCAAGTGACCAAAATGTGTGAGCTGAAACCTTTAATGTCCTTTAACCTCTACGGGGCTAATAAAACAGGTGTATAAAGGTTTAAAATGTATTCTTCTGTTTATTATAAAAAGTTAAATGCTGAGTGATTCATCGTCTCGACCACAGATGATCTTTGACAGTATCTGGCTGGGCCTGTGGTCATAGAAATGCAGTGACATCACCGCGAGGAGACAGGTTCACTGTGGATGGGGAATAAATAGTCACACTTTCAATCATCTTCTCACTGTAGCTCAGCCAATCAGGCATCGAAGTCAAAGGTCAACAGACTGACTGACAGTCGGCGACGGGTAACATCATGTCAGGTGTTCTTTGACTTGCTGGTGAATGCGGTCAAGTTGCATAGTACACATATTGCACAGAGCGACGTACAGTACATGCTATGGCAGTGATGACACGTCATGTGACTGCATGCTGCATGAGATCACAGTCCACCAATCAGAAGCCAGGAAATGAAGATGTCATGAGAAGTAACGCATGAAACAAGAAACCCAAAAGTAAAAGTTACTGAAAACATCGACGGCTTGTTTAAAGGATTTTATTTCAGTGCTGACATTTAAATTTCTGAAGAAGAAGCCGAGTAACAAATATTAGATGACTGCTGTTGAGTCTATTAAGAATAATAACGTGCCCACTATTCAATCATCTACACTGTTGTGTAGATGTTAGGTGTTGTGTAAACCACTACTTGACTGTTTTTAATGTTAATACACAGTCTTATTCTCCAAAAGTTGATTCTGTTCATAGTAGAATAAACTTTTGGAGATTTACTGTCCTGGATGATTGAGAATGCATCAAGACATAGTCTTATTTATTTATTATGTGCATCACTGCTACTTTCTAATTATTACCTTTGCATACATTTATATTCATTTGTTGTATTTATGCATGAGTCTGTATCTCATCTTTTTCGTTGCTCATCTTGAAATCACGTTGGCCAGCTTGCCGCTTTTATTTTGAAATCACTTCTCTTGCTGCAGCACGTGGGGGCTAGCTTGACTACATTACTTTAAGTGGAGGCTAACAAAACTATCGTACAGCAGAGACTAAACACACGAAGCAAAAGAATACAAATGATTATTAGACGACGTGACAGAAACAACGTGCATTAAAGATATGAAGTGTTTTTAAAATGTCAACATTTATGCGGTTTTCTGAATGACCTCCTCTTACCTGCGAACCTGAGACAAAGGTAAGCTTTTGAGTTCTGACCCGGATGAAGATCCGTTTTAATTAGTTTCAGAGTGAAACCTGCGAAGTTAGAGCGGAGACGGAAAAAAGAAAGTAAAAATACACATTAGAAAGTCCAAAAACAGCTTTTCGTCCAGCAGCGACCAACCGCGTCTGAAACCTCCAGCAGAGTGCACGTATATAGAATAATATGTCTGTTATGCAATCATGTATTTCATGATTTTTTTTTCCTCATACTAATTATTGTGTCACTAAATAGTCTTTATATAACTGAACTTGATAAAAGGCTTTGTTACTTTGTCCGTTGCTAAATTTTACAGAAGAATTGCTGACTTTGTTTTAAAAAATGTTCTTAAACGCATCAATCGTCTTGTTATGGCTGGCAGGCAGGAAGGACTCACACAAAAAGCTTGAACTGGAAAAGGCAGTTTTATTTTCTGTGACGGAAACTAGAAGACACAGAGCTAGATGTTTTCAGGCGCCACAGCAACACGTTCTCACTCCCAAAGCGTAACATTTTACGCTAGGTGACAAATCGTCAACATATTACGTTTTTGGCTGCCCACCATGTTCCTAAATGACGAGCTCGGAAAAATTAGGAAATATGAGAACTGTATGGACTCAATCTACACATGTTCGCTCTTTTTCTGCAAATCGCTTAGAAACACGCTATTTAACATCATTAAAGTCCTGGTTAAGATCAGGAAAAAGGTTATGGTTAGGGCTAGAAATAAGGTTAGGTTTAGGGCTGGAATACAGGGCTGGAACGTCTATTACCGCGGGAGCGTCATTGCACTGGATTTCAGCCATAATCCGCCGCGTACAATAAGAACGCCAACGGTCTCCTTTCGCGTTCCTCAGGAACGCCGCGGGACGTGACAAAACGTTGGCATGTTACGCCTCGGGAGTGAGAACGGCCTGGCCACAGAGAAAACCCACAGCAATGAGGGAGTACAACTCAACAACAGACAGAGGAATACACAGGGATTAAATACACAAGGGAATAACGAGGGAATTGGAAACGGGAGTCATGCACACCTGGGACTAATAACGAGATGGGGAGGACGCAAAACTGATTGCACTGAACAAAGGAAAAGGAACTGTCAAAATAAAACAGGAAACATGAGGCCTTCACAAAGACGTAGACTTCACCCTGTGACATGGAGACATGACTGACAAGGTGAAGATGAAGATGAGGGGAAGGCACAGTGACGGAAAACTAAGCATAGAACACAAGAAGAACGTGAAAAACATTAAATCAAAGAATATTAATCGCTCTCTCGTTTCTTTACCTTTTATTTTCCGTTATGATGCTGATATTAGAAGCTCTGACCGTGACTGTGCTGAACATTAGCCTCTGGTTAACTCTGCTCCAGCAGTGTTTATTCATGAACACTGTCCCTGTTCAAAGTAACCTAAATAAAAGAATACTGTAGGCGATACTTTTTTAAAGATCCATCCTGATGCCACACAGTTACAGGTGTAGCTGCTTTGAAGCTTAGGCGAGGGATGGAGTGGCCCAGAATGATGTGAATAATTAAAGCTGATAGTAATAATACAAAACATGTTAATTTCTCCCACCAACTCCCCTTAGTGGGGTTTGCTTCATTGATAACTGTAAATTGACCAGGTGTGAACACGAGTGAGAGTGGGTGTCTGCGTCAGTCCTACACCCTGGACACCTGTCCAGGGTGTACCTGTCCCCGCCACTCGCCCTACGGCAGCTGGGATGCTGAATTGGATCAGCAGAACAGGAAGGACAGATGGATGTTAATTTTTCTGCATGAAGAAATTTGTCTAACACATTAGAAATGATGTCATTCTACAGCCCCGTTTACATCCTCCTGTTTCCCCTCTCTGATGCAGTTATGGCGCAGATGTCAGTTCACCTCACAGATCTGAAGCGCAGTCATCAAGCTGGTGCTCCTAAATGAAGTAACTTTGATTAAAGTGGTCATTTCAAACAGCTGAGCGAAGATCAGCAAGCACACAGTGTGTCTGCAAACTGAAGAGCTATGAGATGCTGTAATTCTAAGGAAAAAAGAAAAAGTTCATGTTATGTGTGGAAACTCGACTCAGAGATGGAGAAAGATGTAAGAAGAGGAACAGGAGAGTAAAATGAAAGATTGTTCCCAGAGGCAAAGACCGCTCAGTATGTGACACTTAATAAGTTGCTCATTTAAAGCTTATATGCAGCATCCAGATGTTTAGACACAGACGTTCGTTGATGTTGGGAAACAACTTGAAGAATAAATGAAATTACCGTCACGTTGTTTACAGCGATGCACCGTGATGACCTCATATGTTACTGGTTCTCAAACTGTGGGGCGAGCCACACTGCTGGGTCACAGACAGCCAGGTGAATTATGGGAAGTGAAAATAAGAAAAATAAATGAATTTTAATTCTTTGATGAATGATAAATGCTGAGGCTTCAAGATTCTGACTCCCAAATAAATCAGAGTTGTTGCACCGATCAATCATACGGAGCCCCGCAGGGGACATGGGAGAGAAAAAAATTAAGACGGACTTTTGCGAGATCTCGCAAAACAAACTCGGGATCTCGCAAAACTTTTGTGAGATCTCGCAAAAGTCCGTCTTAATTTTTTTTTTCTCCCATGTCCCCTGCGGGGCTCCGTACAATCATGAACATGCACTCTTTAGGTTGTTAACTCCAAACTCTGGACTCTGGTTTAACAGTTCTGTGCAAAGATTCATGAAACTAAGCATTAGCTGTCATGAAATTTCATCTATTTGTGGATTTTTATGAAGCATATCGAATATATTTGCAAGTTACTTCGATTTTATTTTCATGGCTACGGCCATTTTTTATGATTTAAACGAGTGTATCTCTGCTGAGGAACAGGCATCAGCAGACATAGCCGTGAAATATCTCGAGACCTTCAAGACGGACCTATTGTAAGATGACTGGAAGT